GGGGGCGGGGGTGTCGCGGGAATAAAGAGTCAAAAGGCCCAGATAGGTGACATTTAAGGCTTGAGGTTTGCTGTAATATGCAGGATTGGAGGGAGCAAAGGCAGCCTGCAGCGTAGCTAGCCAGTCTCCGGGGAGGTATTTTAAAGGAAAACTGAAAAAGGCTGGTGATGGGATTTTACAAAGAATTTAGTCAAGTAGTGAAAACTGCAATACCTTGGACAGTCAGTCACTGTCATCCTCCAACAGATGACTGAGATTTATGAGACATATGGTCAGAGTAGACCTTACTTTTCAAATCTCTGACAATGCACAAACTTGTAAGTACTCCAGAAAGCATCTGGCAAGATGAGGTGAAAGTACAGAGGAGCCAGCAAGCAAAAAAGAAACATGAATCTCAGCTGTCAAATTTAAATATTGCCTAAACCCAAGGGCAAATAGAAAAGTCAAGATGAATTGTTCTGAAGGAAGCTGCTTAGGAGTACATGGGGCAAACTGTTCTCTAGATGAGGAAGTTCCATTTCCCAAGTGAACTGAAGGGTAATGACATCTGACTCAAGGAAGAATAGTAGTTTTAAGTGGATTGGTTTTGTCTGGTGTGGCCTGCTGCAGTTTTTGCCCAAACTGATAAGCAGTGAGAACAGTTTTGAAATTAACTCTACCAAAGGTGACAGTGGCTGAAGGAAGGCAAAACCCAGCAACAAATGCGTTCTGGGAAGTGCCTCCACTTTGAGTTCACTCTGGTCTTGGCACACGCTGAGAAAAGCTATTCATAGTATAAGTTGAGAAACTCCAGCTCGTTATTACACGTCAGCGTTTGTACCTACATGTGTCCAAGTCTCACTTGACCTTAGCGTCACGCATGCAGTTCATTCAGTGTCTCGGCTCGGTGTTTAAGTCTAAAGATCAGTATTTTTAGCACAGTCTGTCAGATATGATTATTAGCCATCAGGCACCATATAGGGCAGTAACTCCTAACTTACAAATGTTTGGGGTTTTTTTAGCAAACGATGCCTGTATGCTTCTTCCTAGGTAAAAGGAGTGGGGTTTTTGCCACAGTGAGCAATAGTAGTTCTTACGTGATACCTCATGGGAAGATGTATAAAGAAAAGAGAATTACATCTCAGATTGTTATACATAATATTTTACAGTTCTCATCAAGGCTTATGAAAACATCTTGCTTATACATCATAAAGCATGCTTGGTTTTCTGTAAGATAGTAAATGCTTACTGCCATTGCAAGCCTGGCAGAACTATATCAAAGCCTGCATCTCCACCCTACACTTAAGAACGTGTCCCATACTTTCTTATTCTTCAAATGTAGGGGGTGATTCAGGCTCATTTCCTCTAAAAGAACAGAGGAGCCTGTGGTGCTAGATGGTTGCACTGCTACTTTCAGTAGCTACATTTGTGCAGCATTCTGCATTCCCTACCACTTTGTTTCATTTATTGCCCAGTAAATAATAAAATCTAAGAAACAAAATTTTCTCAGACTGCTGTCAAGAGATCCTTGGAAACACTTGGATCACTTGGAAAGAGAACATTGCCAGGAAAATTCCCAGCCTTGTGCCAGCAACAACTGCATGCATTAAATGTCTTTTTCCACTGAATAGGTAGATTGCCAGCTGCCTTTCCGTATCTCAGCTCTGATCTAAATGAAGAACTTTTGCAATCAGTTCAATTTTTGTGACCCAGCCAGTCCTTGGCGCTTCTTTTACAGCAGCCAACAAGATGTATAGTTTTCTGTTACGGCAGACATACCTAGTGAGAACTAGACTTACATTCACTAGCCCATTTCCTGCTAACTGTTAAGTAACTGACAGAGGCATCTGTAGCTTAACATCTTCTCCAATCTGTTCGGGAAAGAAGAAATGTTCAACCCTTCTTGACCTTGTAGGTATGTGCAAGCACTAGTGTGAACCCAGCAAAACACCAGAGCCTGCCCATGACACAGCTGCCAGCTTTCAGAGGAATTGCTGGGTTTTGTGATAATACCATTTGCAAAATGATATTTAGCAAGAATTTATACCTGCAAACAAAAAGATAAATGTTTGCTTTGCTGCTCATGAATTCTGGGTAGGCAGGAGCCCACATGGAAGTGTAATTTGCGTGAAACACTGATTAAAAATCAACCATGAGTGTTTCTGGTGTAGCAAAATCTTACAGTTGAATAAGCTGCTCTAAAGGACAAGAAAATGTTCTTAGCCTTGTCCTTTGTGTAGACCCTCCCAGGATTGGTTTAAAAACCAGTCATGTAGATCATGTAGGAAAATAAAAGAAAAATAACAGTGATATTAATTAATAACAGGTGTGCTAAGTATACAGAAATAAGATTAGAATTAGGATTGTTTGAATTTTACTTATTGCTTAAGTCTTAAATAACTTTGTGCCTTGTAAGTACTTGATGTATGAAGTTCTCAGAATTGTAACCATACAGGACTACTAGAAAAGATAATTTTGTAGATGATGACCCAAAACTGAAAACAAGAATTGGAACCAGAAAAGACAAACCCAGCTGAATAAGGGGATTGTGAGTGGACTTAAGTGATGAATACGAAAAACTGAAAGGTTGAGTGAAGATCTACAAAGACTTTGGACTCTGTGTATTGATAAAGAAGAGCTATAAAACCTGCAAGGACTTGGAATTCAGTTGCCATACATTTGGGGAGTTGGCCCAACTCTGAGTTGTAAACAAAGCAAACCTAGAGATACCCACATCTGTGTCAAGTGATTTATCTCTGTGAACATTGGGTTACAAAGTGGCATAGAATTGTTGCTTTGTAAAACAGTGCAAGACTTACAGACTTTTCACAATTATCAGACAATTTCACAAGTTTCTCCACTGATCTCATATTAGTCATTGTTCTCTAAGTATGGTGAAAGGAGAGTCTCTAAGCATCACAACAGCAAAAATTCAGCAATTAAACTGCATCTCTGGAGAGGCTGAGAGAAGTTCAGAATTCCACCTGAAATGAAGAGTAAAATTTCTCCTTGTCTCACATCTGCTTAGTCTTTACAGACTTAAAGAGGAGGAAGGGGCCTATTTGCTCTGTGTATCTTCCCAGAGGAACCATTAGAAGCCTTCCCTGTCACAATATTAGCTAAAATGAGTAAGTAAAAGCTCCTGACGAATACGACAGGCTTCTGAGTCCATTGATTCCATTTGCTCATACTCTTCTTCCGGTTGCTCCATGTGTTCTGTGGCTGGCAAAGACCACACATCCAGCCCGTGTTCCAGGGAGATGTTATGGAGCACACAGCAGGCCAGAATGATGTGGCTGGATTTCTCTGGAGAGTATTGCAAGGAGCCTTTGGACCCATCCAGGCAGCGGAAACGTGACCGAATGGTTCTGAACGTCCGCTCAATGACATTGTGAGTGGCAGAATGCGCCATGTTGTAACGATACTCAGCAGGTGTCTCAGGGATATGCAGAGGGGTCATCAACCACGTTCGGAGAAAGAAGGAGCTGTCACCTGTTAGCAATGGAGAGGAGGAGGACAGGTTACATACCTACAGTTAACCACAGATTTCAGCTCTTGACCCTTAGTTTTCTGGTACTGCAGATACAGAATAACTTATTTCTCTGGCTAAAACAAAGGCATGAGAAAGCATGAAAGAGCAATGACAACTCAGGTTTAAAAATGTGACAAACAACAAAATAAAGGCGTTCAGTTTTACACAGGGAAATCCTGGAAGAACGCTGAAGAGTTAAGAGAATTCATTTACTGCATAATACAGTGAAAGAGAGCTGGACTAGGACCCTACATAGAATTAAAAATTCAGCTTAGGAAGGTGTCAGATATGGAAAACAATCTTTTAGCAGAACAAAGTTAAACTAATACACACAATAATCAGACTGTATAAAACACAGATTGGAGGTTACTGTTCTAGACTTCTAAGAGAAGGATGGTCCAAACTGAATCGCAAATCTCAAGGAATTTGCAGGAAAGCAATCAAAAGTAAACATATCACTTGCACCCAGAGACTCTAGACTCAATAAGGAGCCAATATATAATAGACTTTCCGCAGAAAACAACAATGAAAAATTGACTTACCAAGTAGCCAGCCATCTTTATGTAGCTCAGTTTCAAACTGGCTTGTAAGGGCTGCTTGCTGTAACACCCTGCAGTCAGGCAGGCTGCCTGGCCAGTGCGTTTCCGCACTCAGGAGGACTCCTCTGGCATCACACACCATCAGGCAGTTCAGAGAATGGAGACCCTTTCGGTTTACATAGGACAGGTCCTCAGCATTTGGCGCTTTGATTGCCACGTGGGTGCAGTCAACCACCCCCAGCACTCCCGGCATGCCTGCCAGCCCATAAAAGTCATCTTTCAGGCTCTGCACAGTAGCTTCATCCTCAGGAAAGTGAATAAACTGTGAGGCTCTTTCCACCAATGCTTCAGTTACATTGGCAACGCAGCGGCTCATGGAGGCTTGACTAATGCCAATAGCATCGCCCATGCGAGTCTGGAAGGAGCCAGAGGTATAGAAACCCAATGCAGCAAGTATCTGTGTCTCTGGACTGATGGCCCTGGACCGCTGCGTAGGGCGAGAGAGACTGGCTCCCAGGAGATCCACCAGGTAGTAAATGAACTGTCGGGGAAAGCCGTATGTGGATACTAGATACTCATCCGTGACATCCTCCAGCTTGAAACGATCCAAAGTCCTGTGTCCGCGGCCATAGAGCAAGAGGTCGCAGTCAAGAACTGCAATAGGTACGGCCATGGCTAACGGCCAGGGGCGTCCTCTGGGACTCCCTCGTTAGGGAGCTTTCCCAGAGCCTTCACCTGCATAAAGCAAAGGGGAAGGAAACTCAGAACGGTTTTTACTGGTCAGCCTTTCAGACTCTGTTACCATTTCCCTTTTACCCAGGTTATCCAGCAAATCTTTTTACTGCTTTGTACCCGCTTTTAAAAACCCGGGGGTCGAAGCAGGAGGGCTCACTGCGGAGCTGCCACCTCTCCAGCCCTGCCAGCGGGAGGGGGACCTGCCGCTGACAGGAATTTACTTCCCGTGACAGGGAGGGAGCTAGCGCACCACAGCATCCCGCTGCCCGGCTTGGGAACCGTCCCCAGCCACCGCCGACCCGGCCACGT